AAAAAAGCCAAAAACAGATGCCCTTTTTTGGGCCAATATTTTTCGACTTTGATTCCCGAACAGCGACACGAAGGGGCTGCACAGAAGGCGCCATTCTGAGTGCAAGCTGACATATTGTTTGATATTTCGCAATTGAGATGGCTGTATCATCCTGTTCAATCAATATATGGATTACTTGTGCAAGCCCTGGGGCCGCATCGATCGTTGGAACACCGCGCTTCAACATTTTTGGAACTTCGCCGGGTGCGATCACACACTAATTTCGTAATATTACTCGAAGACATGGTGAAATTTTTTTAATTTTTTTTTTAGAAAGAGAGCTCTGTGCTTTGTCGTCAGTTTGCGCTATAGTTTGTGATAGGGGACTCCGTATTGACGAAGTTACACAATATTCCAATTTGGTCTTGACTACTATGTTCCACCGTAATACAAAAAAAAACTTGAGGAGGACACAAACATGCTAACTCTTTCCTGGACATCAGATTTAATGAATGAAACGGAAATGAGTGGTGTTAGTAGTCTACAGTAGCAACAACCCCCCTCACCTGAGCGACCAATGTGCCAGACACCAAACAAAGTTAAATGCGTCAAGTACCCACGGTGGGCGTGGGTGCACGCGTAATTTGCCACGTTGCAGACCTCTCCGCGTCCATTTTTTCGATGTACGCCGCGCCTTTTCACGGCGTGATGGCTGAATCAAAATCGTAAGAGTTCATGTTGCGACATTCGCCATTCGGTAAAGTTTACCACCCGCTTATCGGAACAACGAAATGTGTACGGAAATTGCTGTCGATACCAGATATATGCGACGAAAACAGACACATACACCATTGTCCCCCGTTGTTTCCAATTGCTTCGCTGCTTCCACGGCCAACGCCATGGCCACTAACATAACCCTTTGCGCTCTGGCACAGGGGCACACACTTCTAGAATGTGGTGGAGCAAACGCAACCCCGTTCTTCGTGTCGCGCGAATTGTTACGACATTCCTCAAAAAACGCCACCGCTCCCCTTCCACCGACAGCAGGAGCGACCTGCTGCTGCGGTAAATAAACGTACGCGCGCACGCAATACGGAAAGCAGCCAGCGCAGAACCTCGCCATCCCTGAAGGCCTTGCTGGTTAGCGGGTACTATCGCGCCCGGGCCTTCACAACGGTCGGGCCACTACCACCGACAACCCCGTCGGCAGCGGAAGAGGCGGGTTGTTGAGGCACAGGCAAAGCCAAATGCGGTAGCAGTCCACGGTTCCGCCTCACCCACTCCAGAGCACGAGCCTCTGCTGTTTTCCGCGTAGAGGGAGGCAGCTCGCAAGCGCCGGGCCCAACGGCCTTGCGGATCGATAGAGACAGCCAGTCGTCGTTCATACCGTCGTCGATCCCCTGGTGTTTTGCGTGTTATTAAAGAAAGGGCATATGTTACCGTGATACGGGTCAGTCTTCCTCTTGGCTTGGGCTTGGTCACGCATGCATGTGTTCGGGCAGGAGACACAGAGGGGTGTGTGAGTTTATCGAAAGGAGCGCAGATGTAGGATCTAGAGTGCCTGTTCTCGCTAGGCAAGGGAAATAATCGGACGGTCGCCACGAACCATCACGTTTTTCTGATGTTTTCGAGCTTGGAATAGGCTTTCGTTGGAGCTTGGGATGATGCTCTGACGTTGTCACACAGGTATTTTGCATGGGATCGAACATAACGAGTCGTGGTTTGTCAAGAAGGGGGGCGGGCTGGTAAGTGGAAAGGTTCTTGTTCGATTTTAGGCATATGAGCGGGCCGCTAGATACATTTGTCGCCAACCACCGGCATGAAGCATGAAAAAAACGTCGCCCGTCACCAACCCTGCTCTCCCGAGGTGGGTTGTTCTACGGGTGCGTTATGACTGAGTTTCTAGAATGTACAAGAGTTTGCCTCACCTTTATCCAGAGCCGAGCAACACCTACATTAACGCGTTCATAGCTCAAGTAACGAGCTTTGAGAACAAGTGCGTCTTGATGTTTGGGGTCGACAACGAGAGGAGATTCTAGTGACGTTCTGTTGTGTTTGTGACGGAAATCCAAGTGGAGTCTCACGTACGCACGGCCTCCAGACGAATTCCACTCCATAAGCCGCCCTGAACTCGACGATAGAATAAGTGACCTCATAATAATGAGTCGGCTAGCGACTCTGCAAGTAAATGTGCAGCAGCAATTTGCTTGGGGCATGTGACATGTCGTTCCTCTTATTCGCCGAACTCCAACCTCTACCCGAATGTCGCCCCGTGCGCGACAACTTGGCGACACGCGCCATATATGACCTGAAGGGCACAGGGCCAGCCCCTCCCATTTTCCCTACCTTGTTCAAGGCGGACAGCAGGTTCGCCGCCGCCTCGTCCCCGTCAGAAAACGCCTCCCTCAGATCCTCGGAAAGCGTGGGGAAACGGTCGTGGTACAGAGGTGTCAATGCGCCCTGCCGTAAGAAGTCGATCCAGCTCGAAATCTCTCCACGCTCGAACGCCGCTTCTAGGCCCTGGTGTTTGTGCAGTTTGTACGAAATCGGAGGGGCGAGAGAGGGGTTTAGTGAGGGCCAACGACCAGGCAGGGGACGAGCCAGAGTGGCACTACTTGGTTGGTGACGGTTATAGCCGAGGTATCGTCAGTCGCATTTCGGTGGACATCACCGCACAAAGGTAGTGTCCCGTAGAAGCCGGATTCCGTCAACTACTGTAACTTGCGACCATCGCGTTTGTCCCCTCCCACTCGCCTGGAGGTAGCCCAGCTGCACCCCTACGACCTTGCTGAGGTTCTTCGCTTCCACGGGTTCCCGGCCGCAGTAGATGACTTCGCACACCCGATCCAGCGAGTCGACCCGCACCAAGCAGTACTGGCCGGTGACCCCTCGTCCCTCGTCAGAGGCAGCACCGCCGTCCTCGTCGTCCTCCCCACCGCCACCGCCGACCACAATCGCTCCCGTAGTGAAAGACTTGACCTCATCGCCCCCCCCAGAGGCACTGCTGCCCTTTCTTTCTCCGCCGCGACCGTCATAATCGCTCTCCCCACCGCCTTCCGCGTCGCTGCCGCCGTCGCCTCCACCACCGCCCGTGCCTTCGCCTCGACGCTTGGGCGATTCATCCGGTGGCGGCAGCGTCGCGCGAACGTACCACAGCCCGCCCGGGAGCTTTCCGCTCACGCACCGGGGTTTCTCGAAGATCGGGAGTCGAGGCGCTGGGCCTAGGGCGGCAGTGGGGCTGCTCCGGGCGCCAAAAGGAGAGGCTCCGGAGTACGCCGTTCGTTGGCGTGAACCACCACCGCCGCCGCCATCAGAGTAGCGCTCGGAGCCGCAACCGTCGAAGATGGCGTCGGGGTCGTCGGCGCTTGTGCTTTGTGCGAGCAAGAGGGGGTCGATTTGCTGACGTACGCACAAGGCGAGATGGGTGCCGACCTGGTCGAAAAAGGTCCGGACAATCAAACCACAGCATAACTCTGAGGAGTGCTTCAATTGGTCACGGTATCGGTGGCTAGGTTCGTGGGACGAAGAAGACGTATTCGAAACCCAGGGTGGCTGTGATACGAGGGGTGGGAGGGGGGCAGACGTCCGGTGCGCTTCTGTTTGTAGTCACGAACCTCGACGACAGCGGGTTGACCATGCTCTCAAACAAGATAGCACCACCTGTGTTGTATACATACGTCGCGCAGAATGTAGAAAGGATCGCAGAAAATTATCCTGTATGGCGTCATATGTTCCAGATTAATTGCGTAACCCTACTAGGATGCCCGATGGCCTTCGATGACAAAACATAGTAGTACCACACAACGTAGCAGAAGCGGGCCGAGTTCGACTCACCTCGCTCGCATTGAACTTTTCGTGCCGGGGCGTGCCCGAGCCGTGCACTCTTGAGAACTTTGTCAGGGTTCCTCCCGCCAGCACCGCGGGGTCGGCGGTCCTGAACGTCGGGTCGACGACAAGGCGCCCGTCATATACGAGGCCGCTGTTGTTCGCCGCCCGGAACACGTCTGGGTCGACGTTCGGCGTGTCCCCGCACAGCAGCAGGCCGCAAGCGAGGAAGTCGCTCGTCGTGGCGTCTTCTTCGCCATCCTCTTTCTCCTCTCCCGTTGAGCGGTTGTCGCCGCCGCCGCCACCGCTTCGGTCCGTCATCTCCCCGGCCGCCGCCGCCGCCGCCGCCGCCGCCGCCGTCTTCGCAGCGCCGGCTTTCTCGCCCTTTTCGTGAGATTTCGACCGGCGCTGCTTCCGCCCGCTTGCATCACCCCCACCTCGACCATCGACACCCTTGCCCGCAAACACTGCCGCCACCACGCCTCCCTCGGAGTTCACCCGCACCCCCTCAAGTCGGCGCTGGCCGGCGTCATTGATTCCGGCCCGGGCCGCCGCGGCGACCGCTGCGGTGTCGACCGCCTCGTCTCCGAGCGACCACGTCGACGACGACGACTTCGCACATTTCCCTCTTCTTGTACTGCCGGGGGGTGTCACTTTCTCCTGGTCGTCTACCGCCGAAATGGCCACGTCTGCCATCCGCGGCGCCGCTGCCGCCGAGCCAGCCGACAACGGCCGGACCACCGAGATCCTCCCCGGTGCCACGCCCATGTCAATCAACCCTCGCACTGCGCAGAGGGCCTTGAGGGCGACGGCGTACACCACCACGCCGGCGTCTGGCAGGGCTTTGGCGAGGGCTTTCTCGACGTCCGCCCGGAGAAAGGGGGAGTCCAGGGAGATGAAGCCTGGGACGCCCGGGCTGGAAGGGTTTAGGCCGGGGGCCCACAACCCCAGGCGGCGCGACGTGTCGTCCTTGGGTTGTTGTGAGAATAATATGCATGTGCGTTTCGTGTGCCGCGAGAATCACGGGGCAACGACGGCGTCGGCAGTCGGGGTAGAAGTCTGGTCAGGGCTGCGTTAGGTACAGTAGGAGGTCAATGTTGCCTTATCGGTCGTGGTCAATACATTCATGCCGAGGTTCCCTTAACGCGGAAACCGAAAATGCAACGTCAGGAGATCCAAGGAAAATGCCGTGTGAGTTGTCGCATCGTATTGGCAAGGAATCCGTTCCGCCAAGCAACGAAGACAGAGTCTTTCTACTTATCTGTGCCGCCCCCCCCTCTCCTTGCCAACAAACAACTCTCCGGTCATCCAAGAGGCATGATCCATGATCCGGCATGGTCCGACGCGTTAAGAGGTCGGGTCCGACCGGCTAGGCGCTCCCTCACATAAATCTCGACACACCTGCAGGCCGGTACACAGCACGAGGACATCGTAGGGCACCACGGACCCATCGGGCAGGAGGATGGCGCCGTTCTCGCGGTCCAGGTGGACCATGCGCGATCTGCACGGGAGTCCACGCGCTGAAATGGTGAGTATGTAGTTACAGTTGTTTTTGCTCGTTCGGCCGAGAAGGGCGAGTTGGGGGCGAGTTGATGGAGAGGCTTGGGATGGTTTGGGCATGTGAGCGGGTTCTGCGTGAACACTCGTGACTTTTCCCTATAAGAGACCACAACTGTATAGCACATCTGGGAACCTCTCACGTTTTTTCTTTTCAAAGTAGACTACTCGAAACTGTGCCCATGGTAGTAATAAACACTCTTGAAACTACGTAGATTGATTGCGGGCGTTGACCCTGAACCAGCACGGGCTCGTCCCTTTGCCTATCTACGTGGTACTCGGACTTGATGTGTCATGTCCACAAATGATCCGTGGAAACAGACTAAAGCGCATGCTGAAAGCAAGAAAAACTTCGGTCCCCCGCTCGTCTCAATATTGTACACAGGAGAAGAGAGCACGCACGTAAACACGTAGTACGCACCTGAGCAACTTAAACCATACAGCGGTAACCTGCACGTGCCATGCACTCTCACCTAACGACCCGAACATGCCGCTCCAAGCCCATCCGAGCTATCCGGTCGGCATCGGGCGCGTCCTCGTCGACCGGGGACAGTGTCGCCGCCGCCGCCGCCGCCACCAACTCGCCGGCCTCTCCCTCTCCCTCTCCATCGCCACCAAAATCTTGCCCCCCGCTGCCACCGCCACAACCACCACTTCCGAGAGGCGTGGCGGCGTCATCGGCTGCTCCGGTGGAGACCGAGGGTATGCCGTCGGGGGACACGAGGGTAAGGCTGGTGATGTTGAGATAGGGGGTGAACGCCAGGCCTTCGAGGCAGGAGAGGGCGGTAGTCGAGGCCCCGACTACGACAACGCGGCGGTTGGCGGTGACCTTAGGCTCGGTAACGAAGCGCCGGGACAGGAAGTATAGCGCCGCCGGCTGTGGCGTGGCGTTTACGAGGTACCCGAGCCAAGGTGTTTTTTCGTTGGGTATTAGCGGCAGGAGAGGGGAGGGGAGGACGGAAGCCGAGGGATGAACGGTAGTTCGTTGAGTTCGAGGGAGCGCTACGGATTGTAACAGCGGCAAGAGGTAGAAGCCGAGGCGTTCAAAATCTAACAGGGCATTTCTGTACCACACATAACAGTCCTCACCCCCGCCCCATTCCCCCATGCACCATATTCGTGACAAATCAATAGAACGGCAAACCTCATAATCGATTCGCTTCCGCCCCCCGCCTGCCGTGTAGGTGGGGGCGACGTCTTCAGGCCGTGGCTGCATCTGGTGGCGCGGCCTCACGGGAATCATATGCCAGGGAACGAATTTGGGGAGGTCGGAGCCGGGCGTGGAGTACCAGTAGATCACGGACTTGTCGTAGAGGCGCATTACCTTGTGGGTCGGGTGGGGGGAGAGGAAAGGGATCAGGGGGGCGGCGGCATCACCAAGGCGGTAGCGGAGTGTGTCTGAGTGGATATTCATGCCAACGAATTGCGAGCGAAAACATTGGACACAAATCTACCAACACATCCGACCATTAGGCGAGTGAATGCAACAACAACTTAACCCCCTCACAAGCACGCACGCTTGGGAGTGGGAGGGGGGGGGGGGGTATTCATAGTCGTGCAT